GTTCCATTAAGAAGTTGAGTCAAGTGCATGTATCACAGTAGCCAGAGATAAGGAATTTGTTTAATTTTCATCCCCTTCCTCAGCTTGGTTTCCCTGGTTTTACGACTTGATAAAACAACTAGCTTTTCCCACAGAAGGTAAATAAATTAAAATAAATTAAGTAAACAGTCCTGTTACAAGACACCTCTATCCCAGGATGCTGTCTTATTTTTAATCAGTTTCCCAGTGATCAGCTGCAGAGTTAAGGCAGGGGGGAGGAGGATGTACCTGACAGCATCTGTACAGTCAGGTATGCGAGATGAGCTCCCGCAGTTCTGTTCATGTCCCTCTTGCAGCTGGAGCAAACTATCATCTCGCTGGATCCGGGTGAGCTCAGAGGGTCGCTGGCTGCCTCGGCCATGTTGCACCAACTGTATGAAACAAGCTACCTCCAGAAGGACAGTGTGCCCAGTCTGGCTTCAGTGCAAACCCACTCTATAGTTAACATTTACAATAAAAGAACTGAAGCCAAAGCAGCTTGGTTTGACCTACGACACCTTGCGAAGTTCCTACCTGCAAACTCCACATGAAGCAATTCCCTCCTTTTTTTAAGAAAGTTGCCAATCAGCAGTAGAAATGACAGATCTTTCTCAAACCAGGTTGCACTGAGCGAGATCTTTCCTCTTACGCTGTTTCTGCTGTACCTTTTACAAGGCCAGCTCAGATTATACGAATCAATCAAGTGAGTTTCCATCCCCAGTAAAAATGCTACCTAGAACAAATGTTTAATTCCTTGTTGTAGTAAGCCGACTGCAGGTAAGTGCCCGTCATTGTCTTAAGCAGTGCTTTGCTTAGGCCTGGCTACTTCATAATTAGCTATTACTGCAGAGTAGAATTGTTCCTTGCTAGATGACTTAGTTGTTTACACACAGAGTGACTTCACTTCCTTTGGCTGTTAGCTTAAGGCAGTATATAGCAGGGCCTGTTATCAGAGCCTATTATACAGAAATAGTTCAGGACCCAATCCTCACAAAAGCTTCCCTGGCACATGGTGGGGCCTCTTTGTTTGGTTGATAAATACCGCTGTGGACTTTGACAGCAGAAACAGTGCACGGCCAGCTGGGCTCTGGGGCCTTTTTTTCCTGTTGTTCCTACTGACTGCTGAGAGTAAAATAATTCACAAAAGTCAGAAAGGTGCCTGTGGAAAACTAGTCACTTGACCTCCATCTGACACAAAGGAACAGAAAAACCTGAAGCAATTTTTGTCTCTTTCCAATCAATGTGCAGACTCTGTGCCTGGTATGGAACAGTAAACATTTATGTAGATAGAGAGAGGGCAATTCCTACTGTTTGTACCAAATGTCACTTGTATAAAGCACAGTAGGAAAAAGCCATGCCGCTGGTAGTCAGATGGTTTAAGTGAAGAGGATGCTGCAGAAGGCAGCATGATTTTTACTATTACTCCAACTCTTCTGCAAGGTGCCTTCAACTTCACCAAAACATCCTAGTAATTTAAGTATTGTTTCCAAGATCAGCTTGTTAATAGATGTTGGATTTGTTTTGATGCCTTCATAAATTATTTTATTATTACTGAAAAACATGTATTATCTGTGGTTTTTTAACCTGTCTTCCCAGTGTATCAGCTAATGCCCCCAGAATAGGTCACCTCAACAACAGACACTCCTCCAAGAAACTGACCTTGTGAGGCAGGAAATAGCATAATTGCCTTCTGCTTCTCCTAGGAAAGGGGCTGGACTATCCTGAAATATATTACAGCTGTGACTGGGAAAAAAAAACCTGAACAAAAGTAAATCCCACACAGCTCCTTCCCCTCAGCTGTGCCCCCGCTCCTGTCTGTGAGACTGGCCGCAGCCCACTGGTGCCTGTGGGGCTCAGCACTGACTGGACTGAAAAGCTAACCCGGAGAATAAATAAAGCTTTATTTAATGAGGCTTAACTCCCTGATTCGGCATGCTGCACAGCTCAGCAACTAAGAGGCAATGCCGCGACTGCCGCTGTTGCTCCCACAGGAACTGCGCATCCAGGCTGGGGGCTGGGTTCGCTTTTGTTGTGATTTCGACTACTGCAGTGCATGCAGCACAAAACATCCCTGACTCCGATGGTCTGGGAGAAAGACATTATTGCCATTAACTATACGCTGCACGACCATAATGAAGTTAGCCTCTCTCCTCCTTAAAGCTGTGCCCATTTCATACTGTGAGGAGCTGAACACCTGCCCGAGGTTCCCCACGATGCCTTACACTTTCTCTCCACATGAAGCTGGCTCACGCTTGCACAGTAACGCTTGTGCAAGTGCTCCTCTCCGGCTGCGGAGTTCACCCTCTCGGCAATACTGGGCACCCGGGGCATTCTGCACTCAGTAATGCACAGGCCCATGTCTCAGCTCCAGCTTTGGTCCAGTACAAGTACTGATGCCACCAGTCCAAGAACTGGCTTCTTTTCTGAGAATTATTAGAGTCACCATTCAGTACCCCCAGCAAACACAACCATGAAACCTGCAGTAGTTACCTGATGCAAGTAAAGATTATTTCCAAGGCCCCACCTTTAGAATTCTCTAATACATTAAAGGCAAACATTTCACCTGTATTTCTTTCATTAAAATAAAACCATTTCAAACTATTTCCCTTAAATTCACAGCCTGCTAACATCAGTGAAGGATTCGGGTCCATCTGTAAAAACATTCAAATAAAACGCAAGAGGAAATTGCAGCCCTGACTCGTCAATACAAGATTCTCCATCCCCTCTCCCATGCCACCACCGATAAGCCAGGTGCAGAGGGATGCAGACTCGATGTCGTCACCATTAATTATGCCTATTTACAGCTTGAGTAGCTTGTCACCCCCACAAACAGAGCAAGAGACTAGGGGAGTAGACGTAGGATAGCTCTATCCACCTGTGGAGAGGCACCACATACACCTTAGCATGCAAAAATGGAAGAAATACTACTGCCTGGGGCCAAACCCTAGACTTACCTTAGTGTAAAACTCTACTGCCAGCATTTTCCCCTGATTCAAGACAGGCAAAAACCAGCCCAGACTGGTCTGGGGGGCACTGCCTGGCCTTTCCTTTGGTGCTAGCTGCCAGAGTTCATGTTCTGGAAAAAAAATATACCAGATTTCCTAATTACAGAATACAGGCTCTTTATGGAGGCACAGGCAAGGATGCTTGGCCCCTCTCCCACTTGACACTCCCATGTTGTGCAAGTGAGCCTGTGCTCTGGAAATGGGGAGTGGGCACATTTGTCATTGCACTGCAGGCAAGTGTTTCCAGGGGGCACATACCAAGCACTCTCGAATCCTTCTCACCAGTTTTGTTTTGATTTCTCCTCCGCCCACACCACGCCACAACTGGATAAAAGCAAGTTCATCCCAAGTTCCTGAAAGCGATCGGGCAATCACAGCTGAAACCCGCCACCCTGACCCCAGGAGAAGCACGCCAGGAGGTTTCCCCTCGCTCCACCAGCTCAGTGCCAGGAGCTGGGATTCCTGCAGCTCACCTCTCAGCAAGGCACCGCTGCCCTCGTCTGATGCCCAAACAGGCATGAGAGACGCCATATTCCTAAATCGTGGTGTTCTACCAGAACTCTGACGTGGCTGCAGAGGGAGGAATACTCTGAAGCCTGATTCCAAGCCCTGCCCTTTAACTCGGGTTCAGTGCACACACCACCCCACTGCATGCGCGTTTCCCATGATCTCAAAGCACGTATAAACAGCTACATTAAAAACTAACCAAACAAAAATCCCACTCTTTTTTCTTCTCCCCACAGGTTTTGCAGTTAGTGACTCATCAAATGCACTGTCATAGCATATAAACTGTTATCATAGTGCTATACTGGCTCCAGTCTCTAAAGTTGTAAGCTTCATATGACAATCAGACTTGCAAGATTACAGTACAAAAAAATATACGTAACATTGCAGAACCATAAGATTTTAGGGCAAACATTTAAGACAGTTTTAAATAACAAGTCTAGCTAGTGGAAGATACTTAAAAATAAGTCACTTGTGGACTCACACAAACAGAAGTGCAGTATCCTAAGTACTAGACAGACCAAAACCCCTCACAATTGATTTCCCCTGTTCTTCCCACCCAGAAACATCACTGTTGCCAGCCTCCCCAACCAATACTAAGTCCGAACAAACTTTGGAATTTGACTGAATTTATTTTGAGATCTAGGGGGAAGGAATGCATTGCACAGGAGTGTTGGTGATAACCAAATAGAAATAAGCCAACCCCATGAGGGCAAACCGCTAGATGGGAACTTCATGTTCTCTACTGCGCTAGACTATTTAGCTCAACTCTTAAAAAAAAAAGTTAGTCAAAACTAATAAAAGAGAGACTCATGCTCTTACTGTGGGTCTTCTACTGATTTCCCTCTTACAGGTGTAATATATGATAGAACTATTTTTGCAATGGATTAAAAAAAAAAAGGTAGGCTTGAAGTCTTTGCACACCCTGCGTAAACACATGACAGCTTCTCAAAGCCATCAGACCAAAGCAGGACCCTGTGACCCACCAGTAAAAGCAGTTCCTCCTCACATGCTGCCCGGCTGGCCACAGAGAGATCAGAAGATATTTTTGTAGCTATAAAGAAATTTATTTGGGGATAAGACTTTTCACTACTAGAGGCCAGACTCTAAGCTGGCTCTCAGGATCTAAATCACACTCTTCTTTGGACAATAAATTTCAAGTCACACTTACTGTCCTATTTTTCAAAAAGGAATGATGATGACAAAAAAATAAACAAAAACTATTACCTAAATGCATTAGTTCCAGCTGAAGCCATCTTCCATCAGAAACCATAGGATCTGATACAACAAAGTTCTCCCTAGGGATGTTTATGAGTAGAGTAGCTCAGTGCTTTGTATACTAGTACTGCTGTATTTTGTCTTGTATCAAAAAAAAAAAAAATTTAACTGCATGTGCAGCCTCAGCTCTCAAACCACTGCAACATGCTTCACTGCTCACCCAGAGTCAGCCTCTCTTCCCTTGGAAAGAAAGAAAAAAAATAATCAACCCCCCAAAACAAAGCATCACCAATGCCACGCTGGTTCAAAAGGAGTAAGTTCCTCCTGACAGCTGACGGTGGGCCTGGGTTACTCCTTGGCATCCTGCTCCTCTCCCTCCTGGGCACCATCTTCACTGGCCTCCTTCTCCTCTTTGCTACGCTTGTTCTTTTTGTGCTTGTGACGCCGATGACTCTCCCCCTCCTCGCTCTCATGTTGCTTGCTGTGGTGGGGAACAAAGGGGAGAAGAAAGTTACATCAGAGCCTGCATCAACACAGCTCTGCCACAGAAGAGACCCGAATGCACTGACTCTACGGCATGCGTGAGGACGGAGCGCTTTGATCTACAATAACCAGGAGGCCGATCAGAAGTGCTGAGGGCATCACGGTGCCAGTGAAAGGCTTCATCGTGTTTATTTGGGACGATCTGATATCGCATGTGGCTGAACCAAGGGCAGGTTATGCAAGCCGCTGGAGGTGGTTGCTTTACACCACACGCTGCATCAGCACACGGCCTAGGCAGGCAGCATTCTACACAGACTGCTGTCAGAATAATTTTTGGATAGTTTTTATAAGCAACATCTCTGTGTCCTTCCCACTCCTAAGGGAGCTCTAACGATTTTGATGCATCTCAAGCTTCAATGTGAAGCACTGAGGCTGCTGAGAGAAGGAAGCATCCTAAATCTGAGAGATGTTTGACACTCACTCCTCTGAGCATCTTGGGGAAATCCCTGGACTAGAGGCAAGAAAGGGATCAACATAGCTAGAGAAACGCAGGTTTCCTAATGGGAGGCAGGTCCTGTTTCTATTTCTGCTTACACATAAATGACCTGGCACTTCACTAGCTTTGTGCTTTAAAACTCCTCTATCTCCTCACCCAGAATTGTCTTCCAGACACAGCTGGATAGTTGTGGACATTCATGCAGGATTTCTGTGATGTGAGAGAAATCCCAGCTGGAATTAACTCTGACTAGGTTGTGCATGCCTCTGAGCCCTGCACCACCGACCACAGCCAGCTGCACCGCGTACGCACAGCGTGCTGGACACAACCCCCCTGCACCAAGCTCAGCCTCTGTCTCCCATCTGGGAAAGTGGGAAAGTGGGAAGGTGGGAGCTCTGGTTTTGCCCACTCTGGTTCTCGGCCCCTCCTGGGAAAAGATTTTCTGAGTCTTCTCAAACGTGCAATTATTTCTCCTCACGGGCTGAAAATCAAGTGAGCTGCTGACCATAGTGTGAAGGTGGCGGAATTAAAACACAGCACAGAGTACAGGAAAAAGCAGATTAAATTTATCACAGGAAGACGTACGGTCACACAGTACAGACACACAGCTCCATGAGTGGGAACAGAGTGAGGTGTAGAGACAAATTCCTACCACAGCTGGAATACCAGTTTAGCAGCAGAGACACCTAACTGGCTGAACCACCGAAGCTCTGGCTGAAAAGCTCCTGGCTTCAAGTAATTTTCTGACTTGTTTAATAAATGGTTTCACAGTCATTAAAATGAAAAAAACAAAAAACAAAAACAAACCAAAAAAACCAGTCAAAAACACCCAAAACCCCAAAACCAAAGGGAAAAAAAAAAAGGCTGCTGCCTCTCCTCAACACATCTTCAGCCACCTTGTGGACAGTAACGTGGCAGTGGTTTATGCTTGAACAATGTGACTGTCCTTTAATATTTAAACAAGCGTCAGTGATTTCCTTCAGACTGGACAATTTGCAGTAAACTGGAAACTACAACGAAACCCTTTCATCTTCCTGCAACTGCCTTAAACAGGCTCAAATCTCAAAGTGCCTCAAGCAGGGACTCTGATATGCACTCAAAGTGGCCTTACACAAAAAGTATTCCTCCACTTGCTTTTGTTAACAAATACTTCCCATCCTACCACTCTGAGCAAGACAGAGAGCACCTGTGTGTGGTTTAAGGAGCAGAGGAAAAGTCAGCTCATTCCCACCTCGTGCAGTAGCCCAGTTCTGTGAATCGAGCTCTCAAGCAGATTCTGACACTGCTTTGGTGAATTCCATCCTGTTCATGCAGTCAGGGATCTAATACTAGATTTCAGTTCTGAGTATAGGAAGCTGAGAAATAACCCTTAAAGCTATTGGCTTGTTAGTCTGGTATCAGCTCAACTTCCATTTGCTTTGCATTCAATTTTGATTATGGTCCTGGCCTTTCTTTCCATCACTTTGTTTCCAGCCCTTCAGCAATCAGTCCTTGCTTGAAAACTTATTCATCTCCTTAACATTTTACCTCCGGTAAACAGCCTTTTACCTCCGGTCACTATGTAGGAGTTTTTCTGATACCAATTTCAAAATAAGGGCAATTACCTAGAGAGCTGACATGAATTTCATCTAAAAGAAGGAACTAAGATGAAGGACCAAAAAAAAAAAGAGCAAGTCTGCTCATCATTACCAGGATGCAAACTCACACAGCAACTGGGTACTGCCTCAGACCAGAGACCAGACCTGTTAACTTTGCTAGAAGAATGCTCTCATAGGAAGATCATCTGTAGCAAATACATTTTCTCCAGAAAACCTGGGATTTTAGGACATCCTGCTCTGCTCCAAAAGTTTCACCTTTGTCCAGATCATCATCAACCTCACTATCAGAAGCACTGGGCACAGAGCTCTCATCAAGCAGTGCTCAGCCTCCTGCTCCAAAAGGAAATTTCAGATTACAGGCTGAAGAGAGCTCCTCTCTTCTGCACAAGAACACATAATACTGAAAGCTGATGCTTCTGTTGGGGTTTTGCATTTTACTTTGTGTGTACCTTCTTAGCAGTGGGAGCTATGCTGTTCTGACGTGATGTTTAGCACAGGTTAACCTCTCCTTTGTCAATCAGAGCTGCAATTTTGTTGGCAGTGACTCGACATCCTGCCAGCTGCCTTACGGAGAACTTACAAACACCAAGGGCTCCTCTCCCTATTACAGATAGTTTTGTCTCCTGCCCAGGTACATGCCCGAGAGTACTTTCTCTGCCTGGGCACCACGTCTCAGGACATCAGCAAGCAGGTCACAGGAAGCCAGTATGACCCAGGGTGACAGTTCACTCTAAGAACATCAAGCTTCTTGTCTACAGCTAAGGTGTGTTCCCATCAACAGCCCAGTTCGACCCTAGACAGCTCTTACCGTCTTGAAGACTTATGCTTGCTGCTCTCCTCTTTGTCTCTGTGCCTGCGCTCTCGGTGTCGATCCTCTCGCTCCCTGCTGCGATCTCGACTCCGGCGGTAGTCGCGCTCAAAGTCGTAGCTGCGCTCTCGGCTGTAGTAGCGGTATCGTTCATCATCACTTAAGAAGAGAAAGGAGAAGTGAGGCAGAGGAACGCACCACTCGTGGACCTGAAAGTCAGGAGCTATGTTTACAGGACTGTAGAACCCCATCCTCACCAGCAAAATCTGTCACCTCTTACTCTACCAACAGGCTGAGGTATTCATGATGCTCCTGAAAAACAACCTGTAACAATAAGTTGCTGCTGCTTATTGAACGCAAGCTGCAACCCAATCCCAGTTTCTAACCACAGTGAAATAACTTTCTCCATTTGCCTATTACATCGCTCATAAGCCCAAACAATTGAATATCATGGCTTTTTCCTATCCTCTCAATGCAAAGAGTTTACAAAATTTGTTCTCTGGATTTGCCAAGGGAGTACCTTAGCACCAGGCACGTGGCCAATGTCTCAGGGCTTTTGTCCTCACAATCCTTCTGGCATATGTCCAGGACATCCAGCTACCTTGCTCAAAAACAACAGAAACGTGCTCCTCTCATCATTCTGCCTCCCCTGGTGCTGGATTTTACCTCACAACACTACTGTCCCAGAAAACCTGTAATTCTTTTGTGTGAGTTAGACTAAGGGACAATTTGCTTCCTCACGAGTTCAAAGACTCAAATTGCGAGTACAACTGACATGGTCTTTCTTTCTGCCTATACCTAACTATCTGCTCAAGGTAGCTCATTCAATCCACATACAGGAGTGGGCACGATGTACCCCATATTCAGATACATCCCACACTCCCCTCTACATCTCATAGTCCTTATTCAGCTTCTGAAAGCCAAAAATCTAAAGGGTTCACAAGTCCCACTGTGGGAAACAATATTCAGACTCAGAGAAAGGAAGTCTGAAACATCATCCTAACACTCACAAGCTAGACAAACAAATGTCCAGTATCAATTGTCTGGGAGTGCTCCAAAGGACTCCACTGAGCACAGCTACTTGCCCTGCTTTGGCAAGCACGATCTTAGAGGTCAGCATGCTCCAAAGCACCCAGAAATGCTAACAATGTGCACAGGAGTGCTGATCACAGGACTTGGCTGCAGCATGAACCTGCTCAGGAAGTGTGGGAGTCTGAGCTCTTCAAACTGTAGCAAGTTTGTCTTCTGTTCTGTTCCTCCCCCATCCACCCACAGTGCCCACAAGCTTGTAAGGAAAAAAAAAAGGGGGGAAAAAAGAAAAAGGTTAGGAAAATGTTGTCCTGTTTGCTCACCCCCTGGGAGGGGAAGTTCCCTGGCAGGCAGCACCCCTCTGCTGGGAATGCGCATTCTGATCATGTTTTGAATGACTATTGGTATTTCTGACCCTGAGGCCTGCAAAACACTGACGCTGCCTGTGACAGAACAAAAAAGTGATGGGTTTAGAAAGAGTCTTTGCAGCGTAGCCTTCACTTTAGCTCTCTAGATTAACACTGGGAGGCTGAAAGCCTCCTTTCCCAAGTGCTCCCAGCACTGCTGTCACCTGAGATCACATCAGTTTCCACCAAGGTGGTTGTCTCCAGCACTGCTCCCAGAAACGCCTGGTTAAGGATTTACATTTCATGGCTGACTCCTGGTGAACGGCACTCCTTGCCCTGAAAGCCTCTATAGGAGAGCTGAGCAAAGCACTGGTGGTTTTTCCTTTGATCTGACAGTTGCATTTAGAAGACAAGAAGCAGCAGCTTCTATGGCCAATGTTTCACACTGAGCCGTGAAATACCTAGTAAACAGAGAGGGGCTATTTCATTTACTGGCCTCACATTACAGGTGGGAGAGCAAGTGTAACTGGTTCTACTGGATTTAAACAAAAAAAACAGACACAGGAAATCAGCCAGTGACATTGGCTCCTAGTTTGTCCTCTAGTTATTGATCCAAAGTATCTCTTCCCCAGACATTGCAGAAAATTAAACTGGTATAAATCTACAATCCCAGCCCTTGACCAAACACCTTCTTGTGCTCCAGGGCAAGGCCAGAGCTTCCAACTGGGTAGCTGTGAGCAGAAGCTGCTGAAAAAGAGCACTCACTTGTTGTATTCACTAGTGGTCGGAGTGCGGTCTCTGTCTCTCTCCCTTTCCCTTTCCCTTTCCCGCTCCCGCTCCCTCTCACGCCTCGAGCCTGAGTACTCCCAATGGCTGCTGCTGGAACTGCTTGTGCCTTTGTCCACCGTCGTCACCCAGGGCGTGTGGGACGTGGAGATGGGTGGGTAGCTGATGAAACCTGAATCTGCAGCGAGAGAGTGCAGAATCCTTGTTCATCTGAAGCATTAACAGCATCCTCCCTGTCCCTCCCTTCCCAAAGATACCCTTTGGAAGTACAGCTGAATCCAAGGAGACAATGGCCCAGCTCCCTCCTGTCCTCACTCTCCCGTTTTACTGCCAGCAGTTTGCTAAAAACATGTCAACACCTTTTCCCTGAGGAAGATGCAAGCAAGACCACATTTACAGATGTCACTGCAAAATCTCCCTAGCCCCTCACACAGCACATTACTGCAAGGGCTGTGCACTCCCCCAGCTCTTGCTCTCTATAGGTCCTGCTATATAGGTGTCCTGGTTTCAGCTGGGATAGAGTTAACTGTCTTCCTAGTAGCTGGTACAGTGCTATGTTTTGAGTTCAGTATGTGAAGAATGTTGATAACACTGATGTTTTCAGTTGTTGCTCAGTAGTGTTTAGACTATAGTCAAGGATTTTTCAGCTTCTCATGCCCAGCCAGGGCACCTGACCCAAACTGGCCAACAGTGTATTCCATACCATGGGACGTCCCATCTAGTTTAGGAACTGGGAAGTGGGGGGCAGGGATTCGCCGCTCAGGGACTGGCTGGGTGTCGGTCGGCGGGTGGTGAGCAATTGCACTGTGCATCACTTGTACATTCCAATCCTTTTATTACTACTGTTGTCATTTTATTAGTGTTATCATTATCATTATTAGTTTCTTCTTTTCTGTTCTATTAAACCGTTCTTATCTCAACCCAGGAGTTTTACTTCTTTTCCCGATTTTCTCCCCCATCCCACTGGATAGGGGGGAGTGAGTGAGCGGCTGTGTGGTGCTTAGTTGCTGGCTGGGGTTAAACCACGACAATAGGGCATGCTATAAGGTCTCCACTGAGAAAAATTTCAATCCATCCCTCCCAGACACCCTGGCTTAGAGGGCAAAGGTGCCTGCATTGCTGAGGCAGCCCTCTCCTGCTGCTGAGCCAGCTGTGTTTAGTTAGCCCTAGGCTCTTGGCCACCCTTACAAGGTCTCACTTCTCACTAGGTACCTTTTCACCTGAGGTGGCAGCTGGGGAGGGCTGGGGGCACCAGCTGTTAATGAAGGATGCCACCTGATGAGCCCAGAGCCACCAGCACATCCCCATACAGACGCTGGCCTGCTGGGGCCTGCTCAGCTGGGCCAGCGAGGTCATATCCCCAGGCGGTACCAGCTGCTGAAACACTGCACATATGACAGCACTTGAGGCTCCTGTTCCTCAGGAACGCCTCACGCTGCCCACTCCTCCAACCACCTCCAGCAGAGGAGACAGCGCGGTGCTGCCGGCGATTCTGCCTGCTCAGCATAGCGAGGAGGTGCCACTCCAAGTGCTGGTCACTCAGAAAATGGGAAAGGACACAGATGTTGCTGGCAGGGCTACAACAGGGAATGAAATTTGCTGAAATTCTGGCACTGCCTCTTCCATCACAAAACAAAAGGAGACAGATGCCTGCACGTGCCTGTAGGCAAGGAAGATGATAAAGTGGGGGAGGAGGGCATTCAAAAGCTCAGGAAGATGTGAAGCTGAGGGTGGGGGAAAAGGGAGAGTGTGAGTGAGCATGAGCAAGTATGTGTGCAAACAAGGACAAGAACATGTTGCTGAGGCACATGGGGGCAGCTTCTCTGTTGCTGGGTATCTGCATTGAAAACGGTCATCTGTGGCTTAGCACTCAACTACAAAATTGCATTCACCATTGCTGCAAAACATTCAGCTTTCCAAACACCTTATGATGTAGTCGAACTCAGCATGTGTGCCTAGTGACTGGGATAGTTTGGGGCACAAGCAAGACCCTAAAGTTAAAGCAAGCATGATGTCCATCAGCTTAAGAAAAGCCTAAACTACCCAATACCAGAGAATAGAGATATAAGCAGTCTGACCATTTGTTATCTTCAGTGCTCACCTGCAGAGTTGTAGCCAAATGGAGGAGGCTGCCTGTTATTGTAGCTGGCTGGCTGGCTTTGGAGAGAGAGAAAAGGATGCAAGTTACTAACTCAGTGACCCCTTGCAGGTATGTCTGTGCTGCAAGTTTACCCCAATTTTTCTGAAGGTCTGTGGAACATCCTCATGGGAAACCCATGGTTTCAGGGAATCCCTTTCACTTTGCACTGCAAACTATCATAAATGCATACAGGTGCAGTTGCTTTGCCACAGCTTCTGAAAGTGCTGTAACTCAATTGCTTGCCCTGCTTTACCCCTCCCCTCTGTAAATCAGGCAGGCTTCCTGGGAAATAACCAGTGCTTAGAAAGCACCTGGACAATCTTTATGGAAAACATCTGGAGTAACATAACACACTATCGAGCACTCTACACTAGACCTAAGCACACACCAAGATTTTATTGACTCCTTCCTGCGTCATGAATATGACAAATCATGGTAAATGCACAGAGGATTCCCTACGGACTCTGCTCTCCCCCCCCCCCCCCCCCCCCAATCCAAGACCAGACTAAGAATTATCAGCACTGGTTTTAGACCTATCCTCCACCCTTCCTCACTACAGAGGAGCTGTACCGATGCCTCAGCCCAGGTGTGGTCTTACCCATCCAAGGTTGGAATGAGGAGAGCTGGTGGTGGTGCCAGAGGAGGCGGGAACAACCCTAGACAAAGAAGCGTAAGTCATCACAAAGATCTCACAGCTTGCTGTGAGGCAACAAGACTTCATGGCTGTTTACAGTTAAAAGCAGTTAAAGCATCTTTTTACTCTAAACAAGGCCCTGTTTGAAATGGAATCATTTTCCTTCAGGGTTGCATCTCCTACCACAATTAAAACCCTACAGCTATGTTAGTTCTGTAGGGCCATGGAGAGAAAAATAAAGGAAGAACTACCTCCTATTTTGGCTTATTCATCTTAAATGTAAGATTCATTAAAGAGTAAACATTAACCCTTACAGTCCTGTGGAAGACAGAAAAGTCTGGTTCTTGGGATGCAGACATGTTGCAACTATAGCAAAGGTTTTACTGCTCCTTGATTAAAATGAGTAACTTTGCCTCTTACAAAGCATGTAACATACAATTCACCTGGTTTTGTTTGTTTTTAAAGAAAGCCAATTTTCTGAGCACATATACACTTAAAAACCATGAGAAGACATAGCACCAACAATGCAGAGAGTTGTCTGAAAGGTCTGACACTTGAAAAATGGGCCCAATGTCCAACACATGAAGAGTTATTATACAAAACCACAAGGCAGCTATCTTCAAGAAAGCAGAATTAAGCAGAATTTTATGAAGGGCACTTCCAGAAGTGATATAAGCCTTGGAAGCCAAAGTTCTCAGCCTTGACCAATCTGAACACGAGAAGGACGTGCCGACAGCTCCTACAGGGAACTTCTTAAACTTGTATCCATAACTATAAGCAACCATTACTTCTATAGGCAGTTACCAATGCCAACAAGAACAGACTAACCACCCATTGGCTTAACTTTGCATAAAAATTCCTGTTTATCATTAAACAAACAAACAAAAAAAGAAGCAAACTGTATTGATACAAAGGATAGGAGTCATCTAACTGCAGTCATTTACATTGAAGCTAGCAGCTCCAGGTTCCTTTTCAAGTCAATGGAGATTGAGCCAGCATAGTCAGTGGAACTGTGGGACAATTCATCACCTCTTACTGTGAACACCTAAAATGGGTCAGGAGAACTTCTCCCTAGAAGCATCGCACTGCAAAAAGAGGTAGCCTGAAGTCTCCAGCTCAGCTAGTGGAGATGTAAGCTGCAAACAAGTTGGGGGACATGTCTCAGATGCTTTTTTTTTCCTCCCTCCTTTTCCTAAGATCTTCCAATAAAATGCAATGCCTAGAGCATTTCAATCACACCTGCTCATGAAGAGCGAGTACTTCAAAGCACTACTGTTATAAACGCCTAACTCTAATGGTGGTGGATCACCATCATTATCATAATTAACATGTATTCTCCTTCATCTCCCTTTCCAACCCAGTTACCTGAAGTGGAAGTTCTTTGCAACAGCCTGGTCATTTCGTCCACCTTGCTCCTCCCAAACAACTTTAATCTAAATGCACTTGACTAGCAACTGGGCGCTGCAATGTCTACAATCAAGATCAGTTTGCATCCAGTTTCACTACAATATAGTTCTTCTAAATCCAAGCTTACTACGAGGGGGTTCCTTCTAGTACAACAACAAAACCCAGCTCTGCAATATTATTGTACATTGAGAGGAGCATGAAAAGCAACATCTTAACACACAGAGGAATTTTCTTGGTCTGAGGGACAGCCCAGCTAGTGTAGGTTTTCCATATTTCCATTTGGGAAGCCCAGGGCAGAGTATGAATACAAAAGCATGGACACAAAAGCTGTGAATCAAGTCCAACATGTCTGACGCATAGTAAGGACAAGTACATCAAGCCCAAAGTGCTTTGGGTGCAGACCTTTTGCAAGTACATGAATCAAGTATACAGTATAACGCAAAGGCAGTGTCCTGACTGCATGTACATGGTCACCATCGGCCTTGGATTTTCAGATGTACAGCATCCAGTCAGAACTATCGCTCCAAATGGTCTGCTACAGAAACAGCTAAATTTGTTTTCCCTGAACTAGGAAAATTTCCAGTAGAAAAAAATTTACAGCTAGAGGAAACTCAGTTCTATAGTAGCTCTGAATTAGTGGGGTTCTTAACTTACACACAAGAATGGTTGTTATATTTCTTTATTAGCATTCACCATCTCTACTGCACACCAGGGAGCACAGGCTTCTGAAGGAAATGGCATTTGTTCTGCTCAGTCTCACACTCCAAATTCCTATACAAAGCACCGATTTGTCACTCAGACTTCTGCTGTGCAAATGCCATAACAAGAACTAAACCATTTCAAATCTAATTGGCTTCTGCCATCTGAAGTTCTCCACTTTCTAGATTGGTCTTCAGAGACAAAACAAGATAGTATTAAGAAGCCCTACAGATTATTATTTAGGTCCAGAATATAAGATAAGCAGCTGGAGTTCAACCCTGCATTGGAGTTTATTTAGCCTTAAATTAACTGTGCTCTAAAATGGGTCTTGGTGTCATCCCATCTCATGTATCCAAATGCTCAGATAGAGCCATCTGTGTTCAGAATCACTGCTGTTATTAAGAGCAAGTTAACACCTACCTGGAATAGGACCGGGTGGTGGCAGACCTACAGAAATAAACAAGCAAGCAAAACAAGTGAGGACAACAGGTAAAGCATGTCAACTCTGTACCTCAAGCTAAACCTGAAAGCACACCTGTGAATAAATTCCACATATTTGCACAGACCAGCAGAAAAACTGGTGCTGTTAAGCAGTAACTACCCTACAAACTATATAATTTTCCCAAATGATGATCTCTTTACCTTTATTATATTATAATTTTAAATGTTGCTGCTCTCTTATACTGGAGAATTCCTTTTTCCAAGTGTCAACACACAACAATTGATCTTCAGAACAACTGAAGGAGCTGGAGAGGGGAACCTGCTGCAGATGCCAGTGTGCCCTTTTGCTTGTTTGTTGTTGGTTTTTTTAAAAAACTTTTTTAAACATTTAAAAAAAAAAAGTCAATCATAACTGTATGGTGAAATCAGACACCCTGGTCCACAACCAAAAGAACGAGTGAACAATTTATCTTGATTTTGCCAATTATTTTAATGAAAGGCAGTAGGAAAAGCTACCATGGTCCACCAGCGAGCACTGCAGTAATAATCCCCCTCAGATTAAAAACCTTGACTATATTTTTTATTCTGTATCTTCTGCATCTGGAGCCAGTGCAAAATATAGGAGTTACTGCATGACATGCTCCTGGTGACTTCTCAGAGTCTGGCTGCTGCCTACAGGACCAGGGAAAGCCCAGAGTGTGGCCTTCGCATCAACCTCAATGCACTATTCGAGGCCAAAGCAACAGGGGCACAGACACAACTCGTGTTGGATCAGAAGATGCGCAGACTTAGTAGGAAGTGAAGACAGAAAAGCGTGTCTTAGGCCATGGCCAGTATGTCTGTAAACTTGCATTGGAAAGGGTCAACATTAAAACGACCTTATGCCACCTGGGAAAGGCCGCATGAGGGTGCGCATTCGGTCTTGTCAGTTGCAAAGTTCTTTGTTCTCTCCACCAGTATTGCCCTATTTTGCCTGGTGCCCAGAAAGAGTACTACTGGCCTTCATGTTGCAGATGCATTAAGAAACCTTGTGGAAACTGAGTTATTACATGCACAGAAGAGAAGAGACTGTTCTGTAGCATGGTGCTCAAGACAACAAAGTAGAAAAAAATTAGAAATTTTACCTCTGCTGTCTCAATAGGTTTCAGGACTCAGTCTGTAACTGCAGGGGCAAAGGGCATTCCTGCAGACACAGGACTTATCTCGACAGCGTCTCCTCAAGTGCCAAGTGCTCTTAGCACAATACAAACCCATCTGGTTATTGGTAAGAGCACACAAACTTGCCAATGCTGAGGACCAACCACACCCAACAGGCTAGAAACCCATGGTAATGATCTCATTTATATTATTTATATTTTGCTTTCAAAATGAAGCATTGCTCTAATGTCTGCACTGGACACTAGAGTCTTCTAGGAGCAGCAAGAATCATCCTGCAGTGGCAATCAGTATAATAAAATGCACAGAAACAAACACAGAAAGATACAAATCTTGTTATTTCAAGGCACAAACCAACCAAGAACTGACCTGGATTAGGAGGAGAGTTGTTTGTTAGAGCTGCTGTTGCAGAATTGCCAATTCCAGCATCACCCTTGAAACATCTGGAATTGGTCATAGCCAGACAGGATCCTGAGCTAAACAGCCTGCTGATCTGACACAGGATAGCAATTCCTGTGTTCTTAGCTTCCTCCACAGATAAAAAGGAACCCATTTCTTTATGTTTATCAATAAAGCAAATGGATCGGTAGCACCCAAATGCTTTCTCACAGAAACAAAGCCTAGAGTTTTATTCAAGGAACAGCTGCCATTTTTCAAGTATTCAAGGGCAAGTGTTAAATAGGCTGATGGAGACACTGAACAAAGATTGGCCAGGTCTAAGGACCTGTTACCTGATTGCTCAACTGTCCCATAGCATTTAACGATTAAACCTTTGGTTTGCTCCAAGCCTGGGACGCCCTAACTCGCAGCTTCCGACTGCCATATATTGCTGTGTGAACACGTACCTGGAGGATGCAGGGGAGGTGGAACAGAAGTAACTGGTGGAGGAGGGTGGAGGAAGTGTGGCGGAGGTGGCCCAGCGAGCGGGGGAGGCGGTGGGCCTGCTGGTGGTGCAAACGGCTGCTGCTGAGGTGGCTGTTGGGGCTGTGATGGCTGCTGGGGCTGCTGTGGGGGTTGTGGCTTACTTCCGTGGTCTCCAAGGACCTTAGAAGACAGAGGAATGAGAAGAGAGCATTTTAATCTCTTTGCTCCTGCAGCTAGGACTTCAGTGTGCTGGCATAAAGGGAGCATATCTCCAAAATAGGAAGCACTGCAATACCTGGAAAGACCAGGCTATGCTATACCCAGGGGATAGCATCTTTTGGAGAGGAAGGAAGGTTGATCAAAGAAATCAATATGCATAGCAAGATATCTTCTCTTACGCAGAACAGCAGCGAGACTAGATTCTAGCTGTATACGCAATTGTGCAAGACAGCTGACATTTCAGTGTTATGAACACCTTTTGTTCATGGGAACTGCCACTGGTACAGGCTTCAGATTAAAAGCTGTCATATTTGAGGGCGACACAGTAGTGCTTCCTTATTTTATTTAACCCAATTTATCTTTCCCAAGGGCAGCAAGAGGCCAAATTCTGCTCTAGATTGTGCCCATGTAGGTCAAAGGAAGACTGGATTCACATCTGTCTGACAAAAGCAGGTCATATACCCACTATGGCTGAAGGAATGATCAATACGCAGAGATACCAGAATGACCTGGAAATACAGGTATCAATGCCTGTAAATGGGAGGAACAACAACCATTTCTCAGCAAATTCTTTCTCTTTAGCAAACTCTTTTTTGGGCCATTGTTGGCAAAATTTGGAAAATTCACCGCTACAAAAATAAACAGACCACAAAACCACATGTAAAAACAAAACCAGGAACTGTGTCTAGGCAGGGGAAAGGTTCCATATTTGGGGGTTTTTTTTGATGAGTTAGGAGTGGTTGGTAGGAGGAATGTGGTGAAGAGAAGAACTCTCAGCAGATGGTCCTCAAACCCTACACATAGCATCTTCCTACTTAGAAACTAACCAGAACATCATGGTCATACACTGGACATGCAAGATCAGAACTGAGTCCAGTTTTAAACCCCAGGCTTTTATTTCCTGAAAGGAACAAGATCCAGTAACACAGGCCCACCCTAAGTCTGAAGCGTGGGCTGCATCTAATGACGCTTAGACTAAATATTACTTCAAAGCAAAAAGAAACACAAGCCCCAGGTAGAAGTTCTCCACCGCAGAACTGGAGATTCCAACCCGACAGTAGAGGGGCTGTGACATGGGAGGTCAGGAATGCACAGACAGTTGCTCAGGGTTCACTAGAAGTGCAATAAAATCAGAAATTTGTCAAGATGGTGCAAAACATTTACCTGAATTGGGTTTTCCTCAGAGGCATGCTTATCACGACGTCTTCCTTCTACTCTCCTAATTGTGCCTGCCTGGCCACCGATCACATCAATTGTTCCACCCAGCTTCCTGGTACAAAGCAGATGCATCTTTTTAGGCTCAAAGACATTAGAAGGAGCAGTTTTCCCCACTACTAGACAGACTTCTCTCGTATATTCTCTTCCACCAGGGAAAAGTCTCTAGAGGCAGCACTCAAATTGGACAAGAGGTGGATAAGAAGTCCTTTTTCACTTTTGAGCAATTTGAGCTCTGCTGGCAGGGGTGAATTAGGTCTCTCTGAACATCTGGAAACATGATCCAAAGAATCACCACATAAGGCTGTGATAACATGGATTGCAGGCTCTGGTTCACAGCTGAAATCCTTTACTCACTCTCCAGATTTGAATAATCAGTCCCAGATCAGGCTCAGAGAAAGTGGAAAATATTTATCAGGAGAAGCCTTTAATGTTATCAGCCCAAATTTTTCCTACTTTCTGTCCAATATTCCAAGTGTTGCTGATACCACTGAAGTTATTTACAAATCAGATTCTCAGACACTTTCTAGCCCACCTCCTTGGAGTCTACTCTGTTTCTATTAAAGTCAAAAGTTTTGCTACTGCCTTCAATGAAATCAAGGCTGGATCCTTGAAAAAAAAAACTTAATGTAGCCAAGAAACAGTGCTGTCTATGCACCAGTGAAAATCAGTCACAGAACCTACAATTTTCCATGTTCTTTTATCTCCATACCCAGGGCACTCTTAGGGGAAGAACATTTTTATAGTAGCTTGTTTTAAGGTCATCACAAGTAAAGATTTGTGAGAGAGAGAAGCACCCACAACTGAAGTTTAAGAATCCCTCATCCTATATTCATGCAACAATTGATTTGTGTAAGTATAGCCTTAGACATGTTTTCCTGCAGTTAGGACAGAAAAACATCAGCACTTTTTCAAGTTAGACTGCAGAAATTTCTATCTCAGTAGGAAATTTAGACAAAGTGGATATAAAAATGCTGGCTAGTTGTCGAGATAGTTTTCTCACTGAAATCTTTGTTTAACAAAAAAAACCCAAACCCAACAACTCATTGCCAAGCCCATGGTTTTGATGCTGCTGCAGTATATGAAGATACTCACTCTGGTCCTGACCAAAAGCTCTGCTGCAGGAACAGAATCTCGTGTGTCAATACTTTCAAAACCACGCTTCACGTTAAAATGGACAAAAATACCGTATAGTTACAATAGCATCAGCTTATTTTGCAGTGGTGTAAGTTTTTGAAAGTCTCAGGAGACAGGAATAACAGCTGGAAACAAATGTGACTGACCTGATGGCACTATGAAGGGGGACAGAAATGCCACCAAGTGCAAACAGACTAAGTAGAGCTTTAAAGCTTATACTTGAAGCATATAGTTGGTTCTCTCTCAGACAAAGTGGAAAGTTGGAATGCAAGACTGATTTCTGCAAGCCAGGTGTGCAAAAGATATGTGAATAAAGCAACAGAAACACCCAGATCCCAAAGCTCTGGCTCTTCTGGTTTCACATAGCTCTGTTTTTCTGAAGCTTTTGATAAAAACCCATCAACCTCATAAGGTCAAAGTGGTTTTCCCAACAGAAGCTGCCAATCAAAATGACTCAATTGTTTTGCTTTATCCAGCTTTGTGGATCCTCTCTCTCATTGGAAAAAATAACTAATTAGCATGCATCAAGCAGCATAGCATACAGATTCAGAAACCAATAGCTCCTCTTATCAGCTGCCAAACATGTAATCCACTTCCACTTAAGGAGGCAAAGATTAAGATCGTGGGAGTAAGAATAAGCTAAGTAAGCACAAGCAGCCAGCAATGTAAGCCCTCAAAGCTGAGGTATTTGCCTTTTTTTTCCTACTCCCAGAGATGTGTCCCTTCAGCTGGGATATAGGTTTCCCTCTCTGTGCAGTACTATACTGAGGATGTCACCAAGGAGAGCTAAATGGGTAGGTAGGGGTTGCACAACCCTCAGGAGAGCACTGTTGAACAGAATAGTTAACGAGTCACCACAGCAGCTTCCCATAAAGTTCAAAAGCTTCTTCTGTTTCAGGCTTGAGGAGATTCAGATATGGCCCAGGTGGATCCCAGCCACCCCCATGCAGAACACAGTGCACCGAGGCTTTACGTCTGCATCATCCCTTACCTATTAGGAGGAGGCCCAGCCTTCATGCGCCCTCCCACCAGAGCCAAGAAGTCTGTTTTGAATTCTGTTTTGATGATGTTGTTTTCCACTTCTTTTTCAGCATTTCCTGTTCTTCCTTGCTGAACCTATGGAAGGCAACATATAACACACAGGTTTAATGCCCTTACTTGCAACTGAATGTAGCATCAGAGATTAACCCTCAGCAAAGAATTTTCCCTTGAGGAACAATCACAGGGCTCTTGCAAACAAGCAAACCTATTCTTCAGTCAAGGCGGCAGACGTTTCTGTAAACTAGCTGGCTATTCCAGCCTCAGCCTGCTGTCCACTGTCCCCATTAGAAGTCCCCAAGTTTAATAATCTCATATCCCTTTTCATGTAGTCCTTAAGTCAAAACTGGAAATAGTAATACCTACTGTATTGACTCTTTGGCTGAAGTTCTGATTAACACCGGTTGGCCCCCTGACAGACTTCTGCAAAAGTTGATGGCTAAAGCAGCCTCCAAGCACAAAAGGCAGCCACACAACTGCAACAGTCAACAGCAACATGCAAAACAGCCATGGATGCCCAGCTCCCCTCTCTACACCTCTCACATCCACAGGATCTTCCAACCAGATGCCCCTATAGCTGGGTACCCTCAAAGTCAACTGGAAATTCACTCAAGTCTTGCTAGTGTAGTAGTCCAACCCTGCCAGGCAGCTGAAACTGTTCGTTCAATAAAGATTTTTAGCAGAGAGATTTAATCATTAAAGATATATTTTTGTATTTCTCATCACTGAAAGGAACATAGAACAGTTAAGTATTAAGGTATCTTCTGCTCTTACACGCTCATCTCTGTGATTACAAAAACAGTTTTATTGTAGCCATATCCAGGAGTAACGTCACCTACTGTGATCTTATTTTCAGTGCTGATGGGAGGAGCAGGATCCAGTCCAAGCTGAAGCCGTCGCTGCTTTTCACAATAAGCTTTCCATGTTTCTTCATTGAATCCGTAATTAAAGTAATCAGAAAGATCAGCACCTGACAAAGGGAGCAGAAGTTCACACAGGGATTCTAGCAGACTTGCATTCTCTAATTGTCCTTTAACTGCTTAAATTAAGAGTTAAGAAAACAAAAATCTTCTAGAGAGCACAGCTTAATCTCAATTTCATTCTGTCAGAAAGCCGCTGAGTGCAACAGAGGAGATGGCTGCATCTTTTGGTGGGAGGGGGACTACAGCCTGAACAGCAGTGGGACCATTTGGGACATAAAATACAGCACATATGCAGGGTATTAAAAGAGATGCTTGCAATCACTTATTCACCAACCAGATTTTTTCAGACTGGTTTCTTGCAATTGTCCAAATGAGCCAAGTGCTGGGGACAGCACAGGAATGACTGTTCCAGCTACAACCACAAAAATGGGATGGTGTCACAGAACCTTTTTCTTGGCAGAGCTAAACCAACGCGTTCTGCTCCTGACCATCATTGCCTTTGCTGTTTTGAGAAGAGATTCCAGGACATACCCAGTTTGTGAAACAGGGCTAAAGTGGAAGTTTTTTATTGATATGTCTCAGACTACACAAGTAATTACACAGTTCAGTCACGATCCTAACTATAGCCTTCCAAGATTGTTACCTTACTTAACAGTCTTCTGTGAAATGTGCCAATTCAGCACGAGCACTTCTGAATAACAGAGGTGGCCACAAACTGCTTGCCAAGAAAACGCAGATGCAGAGGGACAGAGCTGCAACAACTCTGTAAGGCATACCTCACAACAGGAAGCATTACAAAGCATCTCCTAGCCCTGCTGAGGTGTCCCTCAAACATCCCCCTCGCAATGGTATTCCTAGACAGACCAATTCTTAAACAAGGAGCTGATACGTAACAGCTAAGCAAAACACTGTGACCATGCTGAGCTTGGATCTACATAGCAAGGTTTAAGTTTATCTTCTAGGTAGGCAGCTCTTCCTGTTGTACCACCCAAATATGCAAACTGCACCAACACAGACTCAGCAACATGACATTTGCATATCTATTTTATCAACCTATATTTCAGCCCTCTATCAGTTCTTCCACACCGTATTTCTTCTTCCTCTCCCTCACTCAAAGAGATACCAACTTGCTGAACAATTAACCATAAAGGATATAAACCTGAAAGGCTGTTGAGTAACAAGCTGCTTGCCATCTAAAATAAATTTACAGGCCATACACCTCTGCGGACATCTTTCCTCTATTTGTACTTCAACACCGTTTTAAGGCTAGCTGGCTTCATTCTGGTCCAGGGATGTCAGGATGACCACAACGATTTCTATGCTTCATCTCTGAACTTCACTTCATTGTTTTCCTTCTAACTTATTTTCTTCCCAAACCCCTCTTTCTCACTTCACAAACAATGGGAAATCCCCTGCAGAAGAAAGGCTACATTTTCTGTTATGTCTGTATTAGCTACTGTTCATCACAAGAGTGCTTTAGTGCTGGTTTGATACCATGACACATCCATGTAGTTATCAGCACTGTTACGTATTCTGATGCCCTTCATTTCAGGTGGACAAGAGATCCCAAAACCACACCACAGACCACCTTATAAAAGCGCTACTTAGCATAGCAGTATTTCTGGAAGATAAATAAAGTACAGGGGCTGGTAGGGAGAATTACTTCTGAGAAGAGGCAACTGGATTTTTTGCTTCAGTTAACATTTCATCATAGCATATTTTGTGAGAGTAGCACAACAAAAATTTGGATCTCTTTGGTTCCTTCGTTTACTTTTGTATCAAATTCAGATGAAAAACAGAAGTTTATTCACAGCACCCTACAGCTGTCATGCAAAAAAGGCTTCCGAGTAGAAATGTCCCTAATACTAATCAGGAAGACAAAAGAGACCATGTACATATTAAAACTTGCTATGCAAGTACTATCTGTCAGGACACAGTCTAGATAATACTGTCCAGAAGAAATAAGTGGGGGACTGCTCACTCACAGTTACGCACCTAGGGGCAGAATCTAGCAAAGAATTAGGCAATGCAGCTTTTCTAAAAGAAAAATCCTAGCCTTTCTTGTAAGAGTAACCAGTGTTTTCCGTCCTTTTATTCAACTGTTTGCAGCCAGAGATTTCAACACAAAAAGATGGCTTTCCTATCATGACATGCACTCAAGTGGTAATTCCCACCATTGCTGCCCTCTGCAAGTGGTACTTTCCTGCAGAAGTGTGGACATGCCCAGGACCCAAATGAGGAGGGTGCATGGGGATGACTCTGAGCTTGGCCATGGTGAGACAGAATAAGCAAGCTGCTGCACATGAAGAGGAGACCACACGTTGTCAACAACCAAATCTTGATCCTACTCGATTGACTCAAAGGCCAACAAACATTATTGCACTGATATCAGTGCAATATTTTCTGGAACTAAGGAATTAATAAAATAGAACATTAAAGAAAAGGAGTTGTTCCCATTAGGGAAGTGAAATTAATACAGTAAATGCAACCCAATTTTAGATAGAAGCATGGCTTGATCAATTGGTAAATGTCACTGGTTGTCTAGACAAGCATTAGAGGCTGAGCAATAAGCATTGTTCTGACTTTCCTGTTGCCTGGCAGCAATAAATGGACAGAAATTACATGTGAAATTAAAGGGAGTGAACTAAAACTGCAAAAAATATTTACCACAAGAAACTGTGAGGCCCCACCTGGTTTCCTCCACGGTTTGTCTTCAAATGAATCTAAATCCACTTCTATAACAGGCAATCCATTTATATTCCCTGCAGCATCCAAGTCAATACCTTTGGGCTGCAACTTGGCTTTGGAGAGAAAGAAACCGTTACGACTTTTAATGCAATGCCTTTAATCCACTAATTTGCTGAGCAAATTATTCCAGTCAAAAATAAAGCGCTACTGTGAATTCATTGCTGGCTTTATAGCACGTAGGTAACCATAATCAACTTCTTAATAAAAATTACTTCAGTCACTCTACAAATAAATAGCCAGGGTATACAGCACTTGCAGCTGAACAGCAGAGAAGCAAATTCAACCCAGACTGGTACTACAGACAGAGTAAATTATTAGAGCATGCACGAAATTTACCCCAAATGAAAAAAATTTATTTTTCTCCCCAGGCAAAATAGTAATTTTTCCCTCCCAAGATACACACATTTTCTCATAACACAAGACATTTTCAGGATCAGTCTTAAGTGGACCATGTACTAACTGGAGTCAGCAAAAATCTGTTGCGTACAGCATCTTCAAGAGGAATTTGTTCTTATTTTCCCAATCAGAAGATAAGTCATTTGCATAAAGAAATTAATGGAAGTATATGAAGCCCATGAAAGGACAGTCTCACACATGAGGAAGGACAGAATCCAAGTCTCCATACATAGTATAAACTAAACTGAATGGTGGGGAAAATTTCATCTGCAGAAATATGCATAGCTTATACTCAAGGCCAGAGTTTGTTTCTTTTAGTATCTTACACTGCAAGTAGGTCAGTGTACTGACCACAGAGTTAAAAGTTCTTCTCCAGGCAATTTAGAAAAGTTTGGCTCCAGTGCAACAATATAGTTTAGAAATATTCTGGTTTTTTTACTATGAAAGTAATAATCAATGTATATTTTTTTCTAGTTTAAACAGAATTATAATCAACTTGTTCAGTGATGGGTAATCAAATCATTCCATTGCACCCTGGACCCCAGACTGTCCCAGGAGTGCTTATCTTTAGGAAATGCACTTACTAATCCTAGTTTAAATAAGATGCACTAATTTTATATCCTTCCAAACAGAGACCAAGACTCGCAGCTGCTCCAGCTGTCAGTGCCAGATAAGTGAAATACTGCAAAAGGTGAAGGATAAAAATAACAGCAATACCTGAAGCAGATGCTCCATAGCCTCTACCCGTTTTTAAGTTTAGATTCATAGGAGTTCCCCTATATGGAAAAGAATCACTACATTGGTATTGGAACAAATTACTTGGTGAGGATTTTCATGCAAAATATATTCAAGCCCTGACACCCTTCAGAAGATACTTACTTCACTTGGGTTTATTCGTGCCTCTCTCTGATTTTTAGTACTAAGTTTCAACACCTCAAACATGAGGTTCATCTGCCACGTAAGATTCTCTAACCCTACAGAAACCCAGCAAACAAACGTACTGACCAACAACAGAATACAAGAGGATTGTCTTGAATATGAAAGGAAAGGTTATTTCAAGGAGTGGTAGTTACCATTCTGCCCAGGAACGTACTCCGTATTTAAATGGAACTGAACAACATGGAAAGCAGAGCTGCACATAGATCACAGAGTGAGGAAAGGTGAAAGCAGCAGCTTTTGAAAAGGATAGCTGCTCACTAGATTTTGCAGACAACGGATGGAGCATTGCTATTCAGAGTAATCCATCAGACTGAAACCACCTCTACAACAAGAGAAGGAAATTATCCATAAAGTGGAAAAATTAGAATATGCTGCAACGCACAGGGAAGTCATTTCCTTAAGAGGAAGGCTGCTAGCAGCAAGCAAAAATGCTGTCTTATTATTTTTATTCAATGCAAATTAGGTAGAATTTTGAGTCAGTGACATAATTTCCTGGTTTGCAAATCCAGCCTCACCATTTCTGAATCATGAAAAATCAGACAGCTGAAAATTAGTAAATTCACAGGTTATGCAAATTCTTATCAATACAGTTTTTGGTTCTTGAAGTTTTCACAGATGAGGAGTTAAATGTAACTTCACACCTTTGATTTTGCCCAATGAAGCAGAGTAATTATTTGATTAATTTTTCCAACAGCAGATCCATGAATTATTGCTCCCATTTTATAGATGGATTCTCCAACAAGCAATCGCAGGATAGAGCTGCCCATCAGTTTCTAATCCCATTTCGGTGTTCTAGCCATTACTCCCATGTCTCCCAGAAGAGAGATCAGCTCTCATCCCCATTTTCAATCCCTATCAACGTGCCAGAGCTACCTCAGATCAAAAAAATCAACGCCATAATCAGCAACACATACATGTACGATGGTGCTCCTGTTTTAATGTTGCCAATAGTAACTTTCACGTCATCATCATCACTGTCACTATCACTGTCATCTTCATCATCTTCACCACTTGGAAGGGCCTAGCAACAATAAAAGCACACAGGAGCTGATTAATACATAAAACTGATAAATTCCCTGGGACAGTAAGCCAAATCTTACAAAGCTTGTATGATGAAGGACTATTAGAAAGAATGATTCTGATATAAAGACATAACTTTCTACTGCACTCCAAGGCTATACAAAGTTGTCTCTGGAGGCAAAAAACCATGGAAGTAACAAGCCTTCAGCACAAATGGACAGGTGCCTACAAAGAAACTGCTAGGTCCTTGGAAGAAGTGACCCTGAGAATCAGGATAAGATTTCCAAAGGTGGGGAAGGTTTAGCTCAGTTCTAAGAATTTCATCACGTCCCACAGTTCCTCTTCCCTACTCTCTCTAAAAGAACTAGGGCTTTTCTGACACATCTCCTTCACAGGTCCATGATGAAAGTATACAATCACAAATAAAAAATACCAAAATACATTCACCAGGCTTCACCTTAGAACCTTGAAGCAAATATTCTCTCACCACAGCTTTTGTGGTAGGAAGCTGCTGAGGAGCTTGGCTTTGCTTATTTAGCACAATCAGTCCCCAAGTCACTTAACTTTACGTAAGAACTTTACAACTGCCGATTTGACTCCAGTGTAGCACCACTGCTGGGGCACAAAAGCAAAGGAAGTCTTCCAGGTATCCAGCACTGCAGTTTTGCAAGACACATAAGCTGAATTAACACCTTACCACCTCAAAAAAGTATGAGGAAGGTGTTCCTAACCCTCTCTCCTTCTCCACAGCACTCGTGTTTGTCAGAACTCTACATGAGCCCTCTTGACATACCACACTGCCAGAAAATAAAGCCATCAAAAAGACTAGAGGAAGAGGGGGTGGAGAAGCAAGCCTCTTCCTACTCTTTCAGCACTGAGCCATGAGATTACATTCTAAGAGGTCTGAGCCTGAATCAAAACTGATTCCCAGCACTTTGGGCTTTCTATCCCAGTGTTTCCCATATTTTACTGACCCTCAAGAAGTCATACTAAACATTGAGCTAGAGGTAACACCACATTCTGCTTCTCCTGCCAGACTGCAGCATCAGAGGCCCTCATGTGCCTCTTCAGTGGGCATAAGCAATAGAATCATAGAATCATTTAGGTTGGAAAAGACCTTCAAGATCAGAGTCCAACCATTATCCATGCCCACTAAACCATGTTATGGAATACCCCGTCTACGCACTTTTTGAATACTTCCAGGGATGGTGACTCAACCACTTCCCTCCTGGGCAGCCTATTCCAATACTTAGATCAGGGTTCGCTACCTACTACACAAGGTAGGCTGAGAAGAGAAGCCTGTTGCTGTAGTTAGCATTGGGAATTGACTATCAGTACAGTCCTACAGTACAAATGTAACATGTTAGGTAGTACCAGCATCTTTACACTTACATCTTTTTATCCATGAGTACCGAGAAGCACAAAAATAACTACGTCTACCATTTGCAGTGGAACACTTACATGTTGCGACATCTCTCGGTCTTCATTGCTGACAGGCCGGTTCTCCTGAGGAGCATCTTGCAAAGGATGAGAAGATTCTGCGTGCCTAGTAAATGTGACAGATAAAAGAAAGTGGACAAGCCCAATCTAGAGGTTCACCTATAAACATTTCTAAAGCATTCGTCCAGGTGACTTTCATATAATGGCTTTATTCTTATAGTGTGTTTATTCTGCTGGCAGTTAGCTCAACTATACGACAAAAAATTAATCACCCTTGCTCGGCTTTGCTTTTGTTGGAAAGAATCAGTTTGGTGCTTTCAAAGAGTGCCTGACAGACAGCATGGCTGCCTAGCCAAACACACTCAACAGCTAATGTATAAGCAACAGCCCTAAGAGCTTTCAGCTTTGGTTCGGCACAATCACAACTGATAGGAATAAGACCATAATAAGCAAAACTTCACCTTGTCCTTAAAGATGCTAATAATTATACATATATTTAGTAAGCATCTATCCCGTAGAAATTAAGGAAGAAGTGATTTCAGTGTTTCTACAAATCGCTTACATATTAATGAGTAGTTAAAATTCAAAGAAGAAAGGACAGATAATTATCCATCCAATCTTCTCATTCATTACAAATTAGTTCTATTGCAACAGTGCTCAGGTTCAGATTTATCTCCAATTAAAGAGTTTGTACAAATGGTAACATTGTTTATTGCATTAGCCAAGCAAGAAAGTCAAATTGGTATACACGTGCTAGAGAAGAGTATGCTAAGTGTTACAAAACTAAAATACAAAGAGAGATAATTTTTTCTCTAATGTCATAGGTAAAACCTAGTAGAACTTCAAAATAATTCTGGCTTTTCGAAAGAGACAATTAGAATAGCCCAGGTCCAGGAAATCCAATTCTCCACCAGTACTTTGTGGAGATGTTGCTACTAATTTCCAACGCCATGTCAGATAATAAACATACACAAGATTATCTTCAAAAAGAAACATAGGTAACACCTAACAGAATCCAAACACTGGTCAGATTAAAGCCATTTCAGAGGTGGCAGGAAAGGAAACACCAAACAAGTAAGCCAAAAGATCACACTAATGCAACTCACAAAGCAGTTACTGAGCATAAAAAAAGAACAAACGAACAAGAACAATTTGAGCAGTTCCTGAAGCTCCCATATTAGAAAAGCCCCATATACAAAGAAATTCAACAATCAAGCCAAGATCAAAAAGAAGGGATGAAGGTTCAGCAGCTAACCAAGGAAGCACAGGTCCCATTTTTGCCAAGTTCCTGCAGTGACAGCTGAAGACACTTTAAGTTATAAAAAGTAGCCAAGATGTCTAAGGGAAAATCAGCTTCTAAAAGTATTTCAAAGTTGCAGACATAGGCTATTACATAAGGACCAAAAGACATACCACTGGAGAAAATCTCACAGATGGCTCCAAAACCTTTTGCATTTTGTTTGCCAAATCCAAGCAACTTGTAACATTGACCTCAACCCCAGAATTTTCTTAAGAATCCAAGATGACTGAATTAAGGAAGAGTGACAAGTATTACCTTCAGCTTCAAGTCACATGAAGTATCCGTGGGTGTGCATTAAAATTTATGAATCGGAGTTCAAATAAACATTTGCTAAGTAACAGTCTTTCCCTAACCTGTTTGCTTCCCAGGAATGAACAATCTGACAGGTCCACAGCCATCATCTGCATGCAAAAAAATGTCGCAGCTATTTAATTTCCCCAGAATGTCACCATAACTCTGTGCATTGTGGGCATAACAGCATCCTGCACAGACTGCTGGTATTTAATACATCCTTTAGGCTGAGGAATGTTAATGGATACTGCATCCCGCACTACACTGATTTCTGCTTCATGGGTAGAGACAAATACTCCAGACAAGCCAGCAACGTATCCCTGGAGCTGCAGCCGTCAACAACATAGCAAACAAAGAGTCATTTTTCTTAAAACACCCCACAGCTCATCGTTTAGGAAGATTCTCATTGTGCAACAAAGAAAAGGAAAAAAAGAACCCAACCAAACAAAGGGGAGGGGGGGAGAGCTAGCATGAACACTAATACTTTTCCTTCATGCACCTTGCGGTTATTGGAGATGGTGGAAATTCAGATTTTTAATCCTGCTTGTAAAGGAAAATTACATTCAGAGGAAAATGGCAAGGAACAACAGATTTATGCAAGTTAGCAGTAAATATCTATCTAAACTAAAAGTTGTTCCTTCTCACAAAGCACATTTGATGTTTTTGGGTAACAATTTACCAAGTCTGCCTAAAACTTGTTTTTGAACAAGTTTTCGTATTCCCTAAGCACAGGATACTTACTACAGGAGTAGGACAGCATCCGTAACAATCTCAGAAATTCCAGATGCTGAATTCACAATGACCTTAAAGGACAATAAATATTAAACTGAACTTTTGAAGGTGCTGAGCACACAGAAGTCCAGTGAAGATCAAGTCTTCTGAAAACCATGTTACATTTGAAAATGGCAAACAGGTAATATTTCTGCTGAGAGAAAACTCTGCTGGTGCAATACACACTGCTACAAATATAGTGAGGGGAGTTACTATCAAGGACAGATGACACTTTCCATACATGGAAAGCAAAACTGATCACTGAGTTGTCCCCAATGCTTTTATCTGAAAGTCTTACCCAAACCACATACTTCACAGATCTCATATAATTTGTTGATTTGATCATGTCAAGATTTTAACCTACACTCAAAGTTTTTAGCTCTTCCAGGACAAGCCACAGTTTTACCGATCCCAGGCCAGCACAAAGACCAAACCTCCAGGCACCTTTTTTCCCCAAGAATTAAACCGGAAAACAGATCTGATTTAAAACTAATCAGGGAAGGGGAAAAAAGGGGTTAAAAGTTAGTTTTAAGTCAAATCAGTTGACTGATCCAGTTCACCTGCCGAATCCATAAATGCTGTGCCAGCCCAAGCCTGGCAGCTGAGGATGACCCCACAGGATGGGAAAAGGACAGGTTGCTGCTTCTGGCAACAGCATTGGTCTGAAGCATTCATGAAGCTATGCTTAACGTGGCTTGATTTTCTTTGCAGCATATAGTTATAACAAATAAATAGTCTCTGGACTTACCCAGAAATTGGTCCATCTTCTTGCTTACCAGCGGTGTCATCTGCAAAAACCAGTAATAATAAAATTATTCAAGTGAAAGGAAAAACAAGCGCTAAATTTAAGCACAAAATACGTCACAGCTACAGAAATACCTAGTAGTGCCAAGGCACTATAACCCCAATGTTCTCTTTTCAACAAAGACCAACTAGAAATGGAGCAACTAAGAAAAAAAAAACCAAAACCACCAAACAAAACCTATCTGCAGAAGTGAAGTCTCACACCACCGACACAGACCAAAATTCAAAATACGTATCCAAAGTCTCTGAGCAGAAGGAGTAAAGGCAAACATCACATAAGGAACTGAAGTCAGCTGTGAAGGTCTTTATATAGACTTTTAACATGCCAGGGAAGAAGAAACATAAAAGTATTCAGCTGGAAAGTCCATGCGGAGGACAAAGACGTTTTAAATAAAGTCCTACACTTTTTCCTAGACACAGGCACACCAGCCCCCTGTCAGCCCAGGGGTTCACCTGCATCGATCAGGTTAGTAAGATCTGGATGACTAGGAAACTGAAATCCTACCAAAGCATCACGTTAACCTCTTCGCGTCACGGTGTTATCGGTAAAAGGCCAATAACCCGCCTACCCCCCCCCCCCCCCCCCC